ATTAGAAATGATAACCCACTACTATTATTAGTAATCTTATATATATTGATTATTAGAACCAATAGAAACAATTATGACTAAGTCCAGATTACCATGGTGCAATTAAAAATCTATGAAATCCTAGCTTATGAAAATTTAAAACTTCCTCATCAACTGTTGGGTCTTAATAAAAAGGAAAAGAGAGAAAGAGAACATTTACTGCACTCATAATATATGCTCTGCCAGGTACTGTAGAGGGATTGTATTATTTGATCTCCACAGATAATTGAGAGAAGGATATTTTCTTTGTTTTAGAGATGGGAATGCTAAGTAAATATGCAACTGTACCAAAGCCCCATAGTCATCAAGTAGAGAGATGATGTGCTATTACTAGGATTTGCCCTTACATACCTGACTCTAAACCTTATGTTTCATTTGCCCTCATTATGTTATAATCCCTTTAGAATTATTTAATTGAAACCAAGCCAATTAAAACATAAACAATAGAATTAGTAATAAAAGTGTGTTATGATAATACCAATGTATTATCATTTGATTTTTCTTGTGTGGAATACATATCCTTCATGACAGAAGTAAGAAGTCATATTAATCTGTAACTTACAAGCAAATGTGGATGCTGAAAAATCATTGTTTTTAAATCTCCTGTAGATAGAAAATGAAACCCCTCTTATTTGTGATGATGATATAGACCACCATTTTTCTACGTTCATCTTTAATTGCCTCAACATATATTAGGTTTGTATTATCATTCACATAGTTACAATAAGGACTATGCGAAAATGGTGGTCCCTGCCTCTTATTACTTTCCAGTTGTGTCGTGGGACAACCTAACATGTGCAAAGTATTCCTAAATCAAATTGGTTTTAATTCACTGTTTTAAGATGAGCATGTGCTCCACCTTTTTTGTGGGGTGAAGTATGGCTCAATTGGAATCCCATTAAGAAGAAATTAATGATGTGTCATACTTACCTGTAAAGCAAAGACATACATAGAAATATGGTATTTATCTGAGAAGCATTTATCTGAAAATCAACATAGATAGAAATATGATATTTAAAGAACTGTTGTGGGAGATCTTTACTCTCCGTATATGGTTGCAGACTATAGGACAGGGTTAAAGAATATATAAAAGTAGAAAGGCCAACTTCTTATCACAAATAAGATAAAATAGCTAAATTTACTAGAAACTTCTAGGTATGGAATGAGTTGATTTATGCAACTCTGAATCATAGTGGTCAATAGAAGAGAATAATAATATATTAACAATTTTTGAATGACTAGATCCCAGCCATATTCCAAACCCTTTACAGCTATCTATTTCAGCTTACAGCTGCTCTGTGAGGAAATAATTTCCGTGCTCATGTTCCATAAGAGGAAACTGAGTCCTGAGATATGTTGTTGAAGATCATTCAGTTACTAAATTGAAACCAGCATTAGAACTCAAATCCGTTCTACAGAAAATTTGGTACACTTACATCTTAACTAAAACTAATTCTAAATGTCTGTCTTCCAGGACCTCATAATCCAGTGAAAGAATGCCTTCTATTGGTCTAATTTTCTCTTCTGCTCAACAACATATAGATTTTCAATTAATGTTGCAACACTTTGAGTAATAGGAAAATTCATTACTATATAAAGGGAGACTTACCAAAAATGACTCTCTTCACATATTTAAAATGGTCTTCTTGCATCTCCAGGAGGCAAAACTAATGTCTAATTGGTTAATTGGATCAATGTTTTGAATTTAATATATTATTCAACTGAAGGAAATATTTGATATTATTATTACATTTTAAAAATCGTGTAAGTCTCCTTCTAAATACAAGAATCTGTAGAAAACATTGAATGCATCAAGGCTGAACTTGGATGCTTCTTCAACATTTTAATTCATTTTCCAAGTGGAATCATCTGGGAATAGCCAAATCCTTTAGAGTTTTATTTTAGCCATAGTATTGGTTATGAACTTACCAATTACTTCAGGATATTTTTATTATGAAAAAATAGATTTTAAACCTGGGCCAGATGTGGAATAAGAGTTATGAATATTCATCCCATTATGACTTTTTCTTCAATGGTTTTTCAAAGACACCCAAAGTAGAGATATTTGTACAATGAATATCCATATACTCATATGTAGCAACATACTGCATAAAACCATACTACTATGAATATGCTGCTCATATACTATGGTATGAAGTTTATTGATTCTTTGTACTTTTGTCTTTGTAATATATTCCAAAAATTGATTTACATTCAAAATACTGTGTTCTTAAGTCACTTTATTTTTACAAACATGATACACAATTAGTAGCATTGGATTCTGTTTTTAATTTTTAGGAATGGCTTTTAAAATTTGATATAATTTTACTTTTTATAAATAAAGCATTTAAAACTGTTTACAGTGCTTAAACAACATGATAAAATATATTCAGAGAAATCTTTCTTGCAAAAGTGTTTCTTCATCCTGTTACCTTTCTGTATTTGTAGGTAAATATGCATAAATGCTTTTGGTTAATCCTTCCATTGTTTGATGCTTTTTTCCAAATAGAAAGAAATATATACATATGCGTGTATACTTGTATCTTCCCCTTTTCTTATAAAAAAACTCTTAGGAAACAATTTTTATCCACTTTGTGATATCTCTGTAGAAATAATTTTTGCTGCCTTCTTCTGGCTGCACAGTGTTCCACTGTACGGTTGTAAACTAGTTTATTCCTACTGATAGGAATTTATATTGTTACCAAATGTCAATAATAAAGCCACAGTGAGACACATTTTGCATATTTTAGTCAGTCATTCTTTGAAATACATTCTTAAAAGTAGGATTGTGAAGTTGATTATTGATAACTATTGCCAAAATTCCCTCTATGTAAGTTACATCATTTTGCAATCCCACCAACAATACATCAGAAGGCCTGTTTATTTCTAGTTTTCCCATAGATTTGCACAGGTTGTCAAAGTTTGGATTCTGGAAGATTCCATCATTGAAAAGTAATATACCAGCATACTTTTAATTTGTATTTTTCATGCTATGACTTAGATTGAATATATTTTCAAATCTGTATGGGCTAGTTTTATCTCTTCTTGTCTGAACACTCTTTTCCTATTTATTCCTGTTTTTCTATCTGAATTTTGTGTTTCTTTTTCTTGATTTCTAGGAGTTCTTGAAATGTTAGAGGAATTAATCATTTATGTGTTATATAAGTTGTAAATATTCCTTTTCAATGCAAAATTTGTTTTATTGTGATTTTGTGCTAAAAAAAATCTGGTTTTACTTGTTCTAATTAATGTATCTTTTATTTCCATACTGTGGGATTTTTAGTTATGAATTATTTCCTTCCTTTGTATTTTCATGAATTCTCCTCTAGTACTTGAATGGTTTCATTTCATTAAATAATCATGTATCTAATCTGTTTGGAATCTATCCTTTTATAGAATCATATCCCTTATTTTCCAAATTGCTATTTAGGTGTCACTTAGTAAAAAGTCTATCTTTTTCCAAGGAATTACTGTCTCATTCTTATTACATGCTAAATTTCCACATGTACTTATTATTTTATGGATATTTTTCCTGTTCTAATTTGTGTGCCTATTCATGTGTCAGCCTGCACTGTTTAATTATACAGGTTTTACAATTTGCATTCAGATATGGTAAGATGTTCTCATTCTTGCCTATTCTTTTTAAAAGTCTTTTTTACTTTTTTCACTTACAATTCATTATTGACATGATTAATTTTCCTACTTCCAGGAAACAAAAACAATGATCTATTCAGTTTTTTAATCAGATTACATTATTTTATATTAAGATAAACTGATATATTTTGATGTCGAATATTTACGCTCAAGAAAAAATATCTATCATGTCATTTAATAGGGTCTATTATGGCAACTTTCAGAAGTGACTTACAAATTTTTCATGTACGTTTCACATTTTTTGTGCCATTTAAATGGTGTGATCTAATCCGTTATTATTTATACTTAGTTAATATTTGTGTGTGTCAGTCTATTGAGTTAGTAATATTTTTATTATTTGCTTTACCTTACTAAGTTTTGTAACTGTATATGTGCAGTAGTTTGTCCATTAAATTTTGGATTTTCACCTGCGTAATCATATTATCTGCAAAAAAACATAGTTTAAGTGTTTTTTCTGACACTGTGATTCTAATTTGCATTCTCATCTATATTTGCATTTTAATATATTTATTAGCATGTTGAATAATAGAAGCAACTGTGGGTATGTTTGTCTGGTTCTGATTTTAATAGGGATGCCTCCTGGGTTTCCCCATTAAGAAAGATGCTGGCCTTTATGCTTAGGATCCTATATTTTACTTCTTTAAAGAAGTTTTTACCAAGTGGAGTGGCTCATGGCAGCAATGCCAGAATTTTGGGATTCTGAGGTGAGAGTATTTCTTGAGGCCAGAAGTTTGAGATCAGCCTGGGCAACATAGTGAGACTCCATCTCTATGGGAAAAAAAACATTATTATTCATTGATTCCTAATTTATTAATTCTTAGTTAATCATAAATAGTTATAATTATTCATCAAATGTATTTGAAGCAATAAAGGATAGCAGCATTTTTGTTTCTGGATATGTTAATATTCTGAATTATATTAATGATTTCCCACTATTGAGCCAGCTTTGCACTATTGGAATTATCCTATTGGTCATGAGATATGTATTTTTAATATTTACTGTTGGATATTATTCATTATTGCTTTAGTCATAATTTTGCATCAATATTTATTAAATGTAAAATGTGTTGTGTATGATGATTTTTATATATCTGTGCTAATTTTACACTCATTTTATAAAAATAGATTTAGAAGTTTTACATTTTCAGTATTATCAATTTTTTTATATCAAACTTTAGGCAAAATCCCACTGTGAACTATCTGGGGAGGTTAATTTTTTTGCAGGGGGAGGTTTTCTGTGACACTTAATCTTATTTGCACTAGCTTTTAAGTGGAAAATGGAATAATTTGCAATGTTATTAATGCAGGAGAAGAATCACTCACAATTTTTGTGGACAAGCGGAAGTTGAGCAAACGAGCTGAAGGAAGTGATTCCAGCACCAATAGCTCTTCGGTCACTCTGGAGACGCTGCATCAGCTAGCCGCCTCTTATTTCATTGACAGGGACAGCACACTTCGGAGACTTCACCACATTCAAATTGCATCCACTGCCATCAAGGTAAGAATGAGTTTATGCTAAAATTATCACCTTCCATTCTTTGATTCTTCTATATCCAAAATGCATTTCCATGTACTTGCTTATTCCATGAATTTAAACAATTATTTTATAAAAATATATTTACAATTTTCTTGCTTTCAGTTATGTAATATATTTAAGATGAATTTGTACGTATTTCAATATAATTTTTTACTTGCTAAGTAGGTTGAGATTTTTCATGGTAACATGTAATTAAAGTATATTTGAATTGTATGAATTTATCTTGGGGTACACAGACTCCCTATACATGGATACAAATTTGTTTTAATAACATCAATTTATTTTATAATTCTCCTTAATTTATTTTACCCATCTAAAAATACTATTCTGAGAAGAGAGGCTTTATTGGGCTTAAAGTCATCCATGGCACAAAATATTTTTAAGAAGTCCTGCTTCATGGAAAATGACCCCTCAATGTTTTTAAGATATATTAAGATGTACAGATGCATGGTTATATGGGTTTTTAGGAGGCAAAATATACAATAATCTAGAATTGGTGGATTAATATTATGTGTTCACTAAAGGCATTTGACTTTGAATACACTAAGGTTGACTTTATCAAAACTGAAAAGAGAGGAGAATAATTTAGTTCTGATTTTCAAAAGAAAAAATAAAATGAATGAGAAAAAGAGATTGAGAAATAGAGAGGAGAAATTGTTGTCTCCTAAACAGTAAGTTTTAGACATATTCTCTGGCAAATTAGCTCAATGTAATTCCACTTGTCAAATGGCCATTGTAAAATTAACAGAGTCAGAACAGTATGATCCTAGTCTAAGTTGGCCATAACAAAATAATATAGAGAGAGCATTTCAGTGTTTCAAATCTAACCTTTCATAGTTAATACAAAAATGAATGATTAAATGTAACATTCTATTACTTTATGAAACTAAAATTAATGTGTGTTCATTTTTGTGTCAGTTAGTTGAAAAGTTACTACTTCAACTTAAACCCATAAATGGGTTAAGAATGTTCAGAAGATTGCTCCAAGTATATCTTTTTGTTCAGAATGTACTGGAGAAAATAAAAGGTGATGTGGAAATACCTTTAACTTAAGGATTACACAGACAATACGCAAAATCCTAATATTGCTAGTAGATGGTGTTGGGAAACTTCAGTAGATATAAATCATGCAATATAGTTAGTTGGCTTCTGACTCCAGGACTAATGTTATATTGAGTAACAAGTATATAAATAGTATTTATGCTGTACAGATAAAAATGTAGCCAGCATGAATGCAAATGTTTCAGTTAATTTAAAAGTTTTGGAAGATGTTGTTAGAAAAACTTAGCTTGAGGTTGCTGAGGAAAACTAGACTTTTCCAGAAATCAGTTTCAAGGATATAAACAGAAACTTTGGTCAAACTATTTTCTAACGGAAGAAATCATTATTGTAAATGATTTTATTATATGGCTATTGATTTTTGTTGTTATTGTTTAGCACCAAGTGTGACTGTGAAATTATACAACAGTTTTTGTACTCTAGGTAAGAAATATACAGACACATTACATGTCAAAACATAATGGTTATTTGCATATACTTCTCTACTCCCACAGGAGAAGTATATGGCACAAAAAACCATATGTTTTATTGAGGCATACTGTTGTATAGAGGCATTGCATTTAGACTCTGTTAATACAAATGGGAATAATGGTGCTTCGTTAAGTCTATAACCTAGCTGTGTGGTGGAAACGAGTCCCAAAGAAGTGACACTTACAGGAAGTTCGCAGGAGAATGAAAGAGTAATCTGGAATTTGGGAGTCAACAGACTCACCTGGACAGGGCCACAGGGAATGCCTATTGTCCATTAACCATGGAAAGAAGTTTCTGTGCACATAATAAAAATGATTTAAAGTATGTGTAGAGTGGCTGGAAATGGGAGGAAAGGGGGCCTTACATTAGTTGGAGGAAACAGCAAACAGTGGGAATGATACAAGGTCTATATCACTGTGAACAGAAGTACCCATCTTGTGCTGTAACTAAGGAAAAAAGGAAATGAGATAAGCACCAGCTGGTGACAACATAGCCATGAATACAGGCATAGAAATTCATAGAGAGTGCAAGCGTGAGGTGGCAAGGTAGTGGGGAATGGGAAAGAAAGGAGAACAATTGCACCCTTCAGAATTTAATTTAGACCTAAAGGATATTTCCTTCTGAGGCAGCTGTAATTTTAAGTAGCTGATGATTTTGCATGCCAGGGTTCTCTGCAGTCAGGGTTATTATGAAGGTTCCAGGGAAAGGCATTGTGCTTGTGTGCTGTGCTCAAGCGAGACTGGAGCCAGAAACCCATGACCATGTGCACTGCAGGAAGTCGACCCTTCTGAGTTACATGAACACTGATGTGTCTGTGCAGTTTTGTGTGGAGATTATCTTTTATTTTTATTACTTATCAAATGTGTCCCTGCGCAGGTAAAAGGTGTCTCTCTTCATTACAAGTTTGACTAAGATTGCAAGTGCTTAGAAGTAAGTATGAGGAACTGAGTAGATGGGTGAAGGGACTTTGGTAAGCTGGATCCAAGGGTATTCAACTACTGAAATCTTTTCTTATTGAATAAACAATTTGATGTAAAGTACTCTTGTAGTCTCTGAAACCAAGATCTCAATTCCTTTACTAAATCCTTAAAGGTTCAGTGCATTGCTTGTGTGCTTTAAATTGTCAAACTAAGGATAACAAGATTCACAGTTTCTTTGATTTAGTAATGTAAGTTGTGTTTTAAGTGACGTATAGTAGGTATTTAATTTCTAGAGCAAAAGTTGTTCTGTGATTTACAGAATTTATGAGACAGAAAATTGCTAAAAAATAAAGTAAATAGAGTTGTTATCAGGTAACAGCAAAAATATAATTAGATCTGCAAAATCATGCCAGCTTTTATCATGCTAATTCTTACAAATCACAAGAGTTAAACAATTTAACTATGAGCCAGTTTCTAGAAAGTGGAATAAAGCAATTTGTTTGTTTTGTCTTCTATAATTATGAATATAAATGTAGACTTTAATTTGTTAATTAATCTGTAAATAAAAAAACTGACACAAACACCCATAGTTTAATTAGTTGCCATACTCTTGCAATTAATAGCATTTATATCAAATATTATCTCACAGTATTATTTGTAGTCCAATAAAATGTGAAGTGTAATGTCTAGAGTTGGTCATTATTTTCTGAAGATCCAATTCAATTGACTTAAGTTATTCAAAAAATATACTAACATATTTTTATTTTTAAATAGTCTAATAAATTTTAATGCTATATAATTTATGGTGATGTGAAAAACACAATACATTATATACTTTGAAAGGATATTTAATCTGTCACCTGATGTATTATGTCATATATATTTTCAAAGAGAATTTTCTTATTTTAATTTTTAGAAATAATGCACTGAGTAAAATTAAGTTTTTATAATAGGACACTACTAAAATATTTTAAGTAATTATTTTCATAAAATAATTACTGATATGTTCCTGTATTTCTTGTATTCTTCAAATATAGAAAAGACAATCAGATAACTTTCAATATTATAGTGTTTGGAAAGTTTTGAGCAGCAAACCTAGGAATAAGCAGAAACAACATATTACAATTAGCTTGAAGGTCAACATTTCAGCTTAAAAAAATCCATCTTGAAATGATTTTTTAGTGCTGCATAGTTAACGTAAGAGTGTTGCAGGTGATATTGAAAAGAGGCACTATAGCTAACTCTAAATTTACACTTCTGAAATTATAAAATACATTACATTAAATTTTTTAAAGCTATTTATAAAATTAAACCCAACAATACTTTTCCAAGAAGCAGTTTTGATAAGTAAATTATTCGTTATTTGGGGGTAAAATCAGTAAAATGATAATATATTTATTTTTAATTTTGCTCCTATATATATATATATACACACACACACACACACACATATTTAAAACTTACTTTAAGAATGCCCAAGAAACTATGCATGTGAACCATTGATAATAATGGCACATTTTATATTTTGCATTTATAGGAAAGATCCATATTTGGTATTCTTTTTGCTTGTGTATATTTAAGGTGTACAACATAGTGTTTTAATGTACTTAAACATAGTGAAATGGTTACTACAGCCAAGCAAATTACCATACCAAACATCTTTTCATCTTGCACACTCTTTTTTCTTTGTGTTGAGGGCAACTAGAATTTATTCTCTTTGCAAATTTCCACTAGGCAATACAATATTTTTAACTATAATCTTCATGTCATACATTGGATCTCAACATTTATTCATCCTATATAACTGCAACTTTGCACTCACTGACCTAATATCTTCTCATGATCTCCCTCTACCACCTCTCCCATACTGGTAACCAGTCTCTTTTTGTTTTCTTTTCTTTCTTTATTTCTTTTCTCTTTTTCCTTTATTTTTTATTTTTTTAGTTACTGTTACTTTTTTTTTTTTTTTTTTTTTTTTTTGATCTGGCGTGCAGTGGCATGATCTCAGCTCATTGCAACCTCTGCTTCCCAGCTCAAGCAATTCTCCTGTCTCAGTCTCCCAAGTAGCTGGAACTACAGGTGCCTGCCACCACCCCTGGATAATTTTTGTGTTGTAAATAGAGACGGGGTTTCACGATATTGGTCAGGCTGCTCTCGAACTCCTGACCTCAAGTGTTCCACCTGCCTCAGGCTCCCAAAGTGCTGGGATTGCAGGCGTGAGCCACCGTGCCTGGCCTTCTTTGAGATTTTCTACTAGATAATGTTATCTGCAAACAGAGATAATTGTACCTCTCTGTCCAGTCTGTATTGTACTTTATTTATTTATTTATTTATTTATTTATTTATTTATTTATTGTCTAATTGTCCTGGTGGTGAGAGTGGAAACTCTTCCTTTGTCCTGCTCTTAGGAAGAAAGTATTCCTTCTATCACTATTAGCTAGGATGGGTTTTTCATCCATGCTCTTTATTATATGGAGGAAATTATTTTCAGTTCATAGCTTGGTGAGTGTT